TTCTACATACAAGGGGTTCCACGCCCGAGGGGGCGTACTATGTTGAGGGCCCCCGCGCCAGCATCCTTGCGGTAAGGATCAGCCGAACCTGTCGGCGCGTGGAAGACAGTTTCCAATCGAAGCCCCACCCCTTCCCTTGCGGCCACCTGGAGCTCTCCAAACTCGCCAGCCCGAAATGACGGACCCAAGTCTGCATCGAGTCGAAAGGAAACGGGTGTCCGTTGATCCTTACTCGCGGGGGGTGGTGGTCTCGGAAAGTATCCACGGGGGGTGCTGGGGTCGCGTGGCTGACGAATGTAAGCTTTCGAGTGTCCGCGCAGATTCGTTGGACCAGCGAGGTGGCCACCTGGCGCCCTCCGCGGGCCAGCGCCGATCCAAACAAAACCGCGCGGAACCTCGACAACGCATGTGCATGCAGTGTCTTCCTTTTTGGAACCGTGGGGCTACGCTGGGGTCCACCAGAAGTTCACGGACATGTGCTCGCCGAAGGAGTGCACCTGGTGGAACCACCCCGCCGGCAGGAAGAGCAGCTCGCCGGGCTGCAGCTCCGCCTCTCCCGAGGGGCTTAGATCAACTCCTGGGAGGTGCTTCGTCAGGGCCACTCTGCCAAGAAGAATACCTTGCCGTCGCTCGGACGTCCATTTCCCGTGCATTTTCCGGTTTCGTGCGTGTTTTTTTTGCTCGATGGTCCAAGATGGTCCTCGATGGTTCTCGCCGAGAAAAAATACACACGTCCGAGCGATACCGAGATACAGGCAACACTGCTCGCGATAACGCTGCAGCCTTCCTGGCCGCTCCCTCCCGCGGGTCCCCGTCGCCAGGGCCGGGAGCTCCTCGGAACTCTGGCCAGAGCGCGCCCCGGGAGAGGTCATGGCAGTAGCAGCATCCCCCGAGATTGAAGAGGCCCCAGGACACACAAATAAATACACACAAATAAAAAGATCCCCCATATTTTCCCATATTTTCTGGGTTTCTGTCTTCCCCCCCACTTCCCATATTTTCCCATATTTTCTGGGGAATCGAGGATTCATTGTGTCTGTGTGTTTCTTTTCCTCATGAGAGATCCTGGTGCACCAGTGTTCTCGCAACGGGCATCTTCGCCCAGTCTCGGGCCCCAGGGCCCTCACGGAGGGAGCGGGCTCGGAGAGAAGTGCAGCAGAAGTATCGAGTCCCGAGCTCCAGTCGCGAGGTGTCGCGATGCTGCATGCTGCTCGGAGGATCGGATCTCAGTGAGGCAAACCGCGGGGCCAAGAAGTCTGTGCTCTGGAATCGGCCCTCAGTGCGCGCAACAACGGGGCGCTGGGCGGAGGCTGATTCGGGAACGAGGGCGTGGACGAAGAGCAGGCGCCCAGACAGCCGACATCTCGATTTGTTTTCGCGACACGGGCCCCCGACTTCCCGACTACTTCCCCGTGACCGGTTTTTCATCCCGGACCGTTTTTTGACGGTCCCGACGTCCGGTGAAGGCCTCGAGAGGCCGAAAACGACGGAAAACCTCCGTCTCGATTTTTCCCAACATGTTTCGCGGGGTTCTGGTTTTCTTCTCTGCCGCGTCGCACCCGCGTCTCTTCACCTCCCCCCTCTCCTTTTCCTTCTCGCTTGCACAGACGAGTCGACATACAGCCACACACACAACATACAATGATCGCGCACACCTGGCGTGTTCACTGCATCCACATGAGACACACGCCCACAGACAGCCATACACACATGGGTCCTTGAGCGCGGTCTCTCTCTCTCTCTCTCTCGTCTCTCTCTCTCTATAAATATAAATTAAAAATAAATGAATCCATACATACATATATACATATATATATATATATACAGGCCAGGCTCGGAAAGTGTGGCAAGCGTGGCACTTTCTCGACACCATGGGGGGTTCGCACGGGGCGGTCTCTGAGCGCGGTTTCTATACGGTCCAGGCTCGGAAACTGTGGCAGGCGTGGCACTTTTTCGAAGCCGTAGGTGGTGCGCAGGGGGTGGTCCCTGAGCGCGGTTTCTATACGGTCCGAGCTCGGAAAGTATGGCAGGCGTGGCACTTCCTCGACACCAGAGGGGATGCGCAGGGGGTGGTCCCTGAGCGCGGTCTCTATACGGTCCAGGCTCGGTCAGTATGGCAAGCGTGGCACTTTCTCGACATCCGAGGGGGTGCGCAAACGGTGGTTTCTGAACGCAGTCTCTAGACGGTCCAGTTTCGGAAAAGGTGGCACGCGTGGCATTTTCTTGACACCACAGGGAGTGCGCAGGGGGCGATCCCTGAGCACGGTCCCTATACGGTCCAGGCCCGGTCAGTGTGGCACGGGCAGCATCTTGTCGACACCAGAAGGGGATGTGCAGGGGGCGGTCCCCGAGCGCGGTCCTTATGCGGCCCAGGCTCGGAAAGTGCGGCAGGAGCGAAATTTACTCGACACCTGTAAACACCTTGGCGCAAGTAGGCTCGGAACGCCAGGGTTTTCGCGCAGGCGCGCCGGGGGAAACCGCAGCTGCTTGTCACGCAGGCGCGTCAACCATGCCGCCCAAAACTGTCATGGGCGGGCTGCCGCCCCCGTGTTCGACGCCGAAGAACGCATTGGATAAAATGGGCGGCGAGGTAAGTCTGGAAAGCTTGCGCAGCTGCCCTGACGCGATGGTCCACTCTGCATTTCAAGCATACAGCCGCCAACTCCAACATTGGTGGCCCGATACGCTGCACGCCAAGTACACAGAGCTGGCGCATCAAGGAAAGAACGAAGATGGCAGGAGACAGTGCCTGGCGACAACCTGCTGAACCCTGCGTCGGGCGGGTTTCCCTTTGATGCTCCTTCTGATCTGCCTGGGGAAGTGGGGGAAGACGACGGCTCGCCGCGGGCGACAGTTCGGCGAATTGGGGGCGCCAACGGTGACCTCCTCTCCTCTTGACTGGCGTCACCAACGGTATCGGCGGGGCAACGGCCACCAACATTATTCTCGCCTGTTTTACTTCGGCTATCATCATCACTCCAGACATATCCGCCAGCCCCCTTGCGGGGCCATCAGACTGCGAAGATTGTGCTTGCTGCTCCTTGCGCCAGTTCCAGTTTCCACTTTCCAATGTTACAACGTTGCTTTTTGCTTCTTGCTGTAAACGTGTACTGTCCGGGCGAGGGGTGGGAGCCGGAAGCCACCCTGGATTGCGTCCCCGAATCGCATGTTCTGAATTTCTGGGGGGCCGTGGGACACTAAAAATGCATGAGATTCGCGCTCCCGTCGCAACAATCCCTTGTAAATTATGCTGTCGCCTCTGGGGCCACGATCCCGCGTAAACTACGCCACAGTCGCACACCTGAGGCTACGATCCTCCGCTAATTACACAACTCGCGCCCACGAGGCTACAATCTCTTGTAAATTATACCACGTCGCGCCCCCCGAGGCCACGATCCCGTGAAAATTACGCTGCGCTCGCGCCCCCGAAACCACGATCCATAGCAAATCGCGCCGCACTCGCGCCCCTGAGGCCACGATCTCCTGCAAGAGGTCCCAAGAAGCGCCCAAGACGCGCCCAAAAAGGCATCCAAGAAGCCCAAAAGATACCCCAGGAGGCCCCAAGAGGCCCCCAATCATACCCACAAACCAAGCACGGTGGCGGGACAAACCAAGCGCGGTGGCGGGATGGGCCGACGGCCACTAGGATCCGCCGCCCCAGGGGTGCACGGCGTGCTGGATGATTCAGGTTTTGGTTTTGGTTCTTTTTCTAAACGAACTCCCCAGTGGGCTTCGGCCCGTCCCGCCGGCCACCCGTAAATCTCATAAAACCCATCTGTCAATGCCCAAAAACGGCCGTTTCGCTCGGGACATCCTCAAAAAATCGCGAAGATGGCCCAAGATGGCCTCCAAGTCCGCCCGAGATGGTCCAAGACGGCCTCCAAAACGGCCCAAGAGAGTCCAAGACGGCCCAAGACGGCCCAAGAGGCCCCCCAGAGGCCTCCCAGACGGCCCAAGAGGCCTCCAAGAGGTCCTCCAGGAGAGTCCGAAGAGGCCAAAATCATTGATTTTCCCTTGGTTTTTGAAGGATTTTGGCATTTGCGCCTTTTCGGCTCTCCGACGGCTCAAGACGGCCCAAAAAGCCCCCAAGATCGCCCAAGAGGCCCCCAAGAGAGCCCCATGATGGCCCAAGTGGCCTCCAAGATGGCCCCTAGAGGGCCCCAAGAGGGCCCAAGAGGCCTCCAACACGCCCAAGATGGCCTCCAAGACGCCCAAGATGGCCTCCAAGACGGCCCTGGAGCATTCCAAGCGGGCCCCAAGTCGGCCCATAGAGGCCCCCCAAACGGCTTCCGACGGCTTCAGACGTGCCAGGAACCCACCTAGATGGCCGAAGTTGGCTCGAAGCTGGCCCGAGACGGCCCGAAAAGCCCCAAAGATCGGCCAAAGCTTGCCCAAGAGGCCTCCAAGACGGCCAAGATGACCTTCAAGATGCCCGCGTGTTCCCCGAAGGCTTTCCAAACCGATTCGGGTAACACGTGGTCCGATAGCTTGGCAGGTCTGGCCTCAACGTTCGGCCACATAGGCGCTTCCAAAAAGGCAGGGGGCGGCGGTGATTCGCCGTAGGCGTCTTCGATCGGCCGCCCCCTGTCGATTCATCGCAGGGGTGCCTGGCGTGCTAGACCTCTCGGTTTCGGCGTTGGTTCTTTTTCCAAAAGAACTCTCCCAATGGGTTTCGGCCCGTCCCACGTGCACAAACTTCACGAACAATCCTCCCTGAAACGGCCGTTTCGCTCGGGACATCCTCAAACAATCGCGAAGATGGCCCGAGGTGGCCTCCAAGTCCGCCCAAGATGGTCCAAGACGGCCTCCAAGACGGCCCGAGGGAGTCCAAGACGGCCCAACACGGCCCAAGAGGAACCCCAGAGGCCTCCCAGACGGCCCAAGAGAGTGCAACACTTGCTACACCGAACGTTCCCACGAAACTGTACAGCAGCAGCAACTCCCAGATCGGTGCAACAAGCTGTTCAGCATTGTTTCGGCGGGCATCATCGGCGCTGGAATATGCGGTTCCACAAGAGCAGCAGCAATAGTGGATGTTGTGCTGCGCTATGCTATGCTATGCTATGCTATGCTATGCTCTGCTCTGCTATGCTATGCTGCGCAATGCTATACTGGGCCAGGCTAGGCTAGGCTAGGCTAGGCTATGCTATGCTGCGCTATGCTATTCTGCGCTATGCTATGCTATGCTATGCTATGCTATGCTATGCTTTTGCTTTTGCTTTGCCTTCGCTTTTGCCTTCACTGTTGCCTTTGCTTTTGCTTTTGCTTGGCACCCAGGGAGCGCAACTGGGGGAACCGCGCGTTTGCGTTTACCTTTGCTGTTGCTTTTGCTAGGCTCCCAGGGGACTGGGGGAACCGCCCGGGGCGGTTTGCGCTGCCCGGCCCCTTCAAGCCAAGCGAGTAAGAACCCTTCTCGGCAGAGCCTAGGTAGGGAAAAAGGTGGCCCTGTGGTAGACCTCTTCCCGCTTACATGGGAGGACGGTGAGAAGGACAGAACACGAGATCACCTTGGCCCTGGGAGGAGCATCCCCCGACGAACGCCCCCAGCCTTGGTCGCCAGTCCACGCACGCACACTCCAGCACACTGCGCGCACCCGCCGTCCTCGGACTGCCCCCTCGACCTGGAGCACGACGAGTCGCTGGAGGACGGGGGGAAGACGTGCTGAAGGATGGAGGTAAAGGGAAATTAGGACACACAAATAAATACACACAAATAAAAATAGTCCCCATATTTTCCCATATTTTCTGGGTCTTTGTCTTCCCCCCCAATTCCCACATTTTCCCATGTTTTCCTTGGAATCGACGATGAATTGTGCCTGTGTGGTTTTTTCCCTCCTGAGGAGGAGCGGAAGGAGAAGGAGGATGAGGGAGTATGCTGAGGCGGCGGACGTGCCGGGACACCCCTGCGCGAAGAGCTGGGGGGCTCGGGGGCACGAAGAGGACGGAGAGGGAGGGGGGGGGGGGGGGGGGGGAAGGAGGCGGGGAAACAGCGAAGGGGAGGAGAAACTTGGAGTGCACAGTGGGAGCCGTTCCGCTGTGGCCTCCAAGCGGTCCGGCAGCGCCTCCCGGAGGAGCGGGAACCGCTCCAGAATCTCCTCCTGGGAGGACGCGAAGAAAGCGCATGCCCCCCTCTGTTATCCTCATCCCCTGGGACCAATTCGTCGACCTACTCCTTGTGCGTATCCTCCTCCTCCTCTGTCTCCTCTTCCTCTCCTGGGAGGACGCGAAGAAAGCGCATGCCCCCCCCCCGTTATCCTCATCCCCTGGGTCCGAGTCGTCAACCTACTCCTTGTGCGTATCCTCACCCTCCTCCGTCTCCTCTTCCTCTCCTACTCTTCCTCCTCCTCCTCCTCCTCCTCCTCCTCCTCCTCCTCCTCAGTGCTACGCCTTCTCCGCGCTCCATTTCTCTTCACTGCTCCTTCCTCCCCCCCTGTCCTCCTCTCCCTCTCCCTTCCTCGTTCCCACCCCCACACTCGACCTCCCCCATTCCGCTTCCCCGACTCCCCGTCGTCGACCTCCTCCCCTCCTTCTCCTCCTCCTCCCCTCCTCCTTCCCCTGCTCCTGCTCCTCCTCCTCCTCCTCCTTGTCCTTCTACTCCTCCTCCCTCTCCTCCTCGTGCCCCTGACAAAGATGCCTGCGAAGACCCCCCCGACCCCACGGCTGCTCAGGACAAGATCGGCGAAGGTGTACGTCCAGCCTTCCATCTCTTGCTTCTCCGCCATTCCTCCCCCCCTTCACCGGGCCCTCCACCGTCATCATCATCGTCATCATCCCGCCCACTTCTCTTTCATCGTCATCATGATCCTCCTCCTCCTCCTCCTCCTCATCATCATCATCATCATGATCCTCAGCATCATCAGCATCATCATCAGCATCAACAGCAGCATCAACATCAGCATCAGCATCAGCATCACCATCATCATCATCACCGTCATCATCATTAGCATCAGCATCAGCATCAGCATCAGCATCAGCATCAGCATCATCATCATCATCATCATCATCATTGTCATCGTCATCATCATCGTCAGCATCATCATCGTCGTCATCGTCATCATCGTCATCATCGTCATCATCATCGTCATTATCTTCATCGTCACCTCTCCTCATCTCTTCTTCAGTCTCGCCCGTTGCTCCTCCTCGCCCTTGCCACCATCCTCGCCCGCCTCCTTTCGCCGCCCCCTGCATCCCCCAAACCACATCTTCGCCTCGTCTTTTACTGATCCTGACGTCCGTCGGAGCGAAGACGTCCGGCACAAGGCTGAAGTGCGTTCCGTGTGAGCTGCTCTTCCCGTAGGCGTCGTTAACGTAATGGACCACCTTCGGTGAGAAAGGTAGGGAAGAAGAGTCAGGAAGAGAAGAAGGAATACAAGAGGAGGAGGGGTGCGAGGGTGGCGGCAAGGGCGAGGAGGAGCAACGGGCGAGACTGAGGAAGAGACGAGGAGAGGGGAAAGGAGGAAGAGGAGTCATGACCGAAAATATGTGAAGATCAGAGGAGGTGGAAGAGAGGGATGAGGACGGGAGAGAGGGGACAGTGGAAAGGAAAGGGAGAAGGAGGAGGAGGAATGATCGAGGAGGTGGGATGAGGACCAGAATGGGGATACACAGGATGAGGAGGGGACAGAGGTGTCAGGTGGATGCGGACAAGGACAATAAGAAGAGAGGAGGAGGGGGGAAGCGGGAACTCTTGTTTGGAACTCCTTGCATTCGGACGCTCGTCCTCAACTTCGGCCTCCCCAGGGTGGCGTCTTCTGCCGCTTCCGCCGCAGCCCCACACTGCGGGCCCCGATGCGGCAAACGCGTGGGGCGTGGGGCGGACCACCACGGTGCCGTCAGTCAGAAGAGTCGGACTCCAACCCGAGGCCTGGGTTGCTAATTGGCGGCGCGCACAAGGGGGTGGAGGGAGGGGGGAGGGCCTCTTAGAAGGAGGCTGCTTCCTAGAAGGCGCCGGCCTTACATGTATAGAAAAGGCCCGCGCCTTCTAAGAAGCAGGGGTGCTTCTAAGAAGCCTTCCCCCCTCACCCCACCCCCTCTGCGCGTGGCCGAGCTAAGACTCTCCCCTGGCCGCGGAGAGCAATCTCTGAAAGAACGCGTTTCACGGGCGCTTGCCTTGGGAGGATTCGGCGGCGCGTTTCAAACCGGGGGGCGGCCCCTCCCCCCAACACTCGGCGCCATCGATCAAAACCAGGGGGACTCCCCTGGGAGGGGGGTCAAAATCATCCCGCCCCCCCCCTCGTCGCTGGCGGCGCCAGCGCTGGCGGCCGCCAGCAGCGCCCACGGCGGGGACGCAGCGACGATGACCAGAGGCAGCCCATGGGGGGGGGGATTCAAACCCCCCTCCCCCCCTCGCGCCGGCGCTGGCGCTGACGGCGGCCAGCAGCGCTGGCGCTGGCGCCGGCAACGGCTGGGACGCCGCGACGATTACCACCACTACCACCGCCACCACTACCACCACCACCACCGCCTCAACCCACCACCACCACTACCAACAGCACCACACAACCACCATCACCACCACCACAGCCATAACCACCACAACCACCAGCACAACTCACCATCACCACCACCACGACATAAACCCACCACCACTACAACCACTACCACAATCTACCACACCACCACCACCACCGCCAAAACCACTACCAGCAGCACAACCCCCCACCACCACCACAAACCACCACACCACCACCACCACCACCACGGCCACCACCACAACAACAAACGTCCACAAACCAACGCCACCACCACAACTCACCACCACCACCACAACCCACCACTACACCACCACCACACCACCACAACCACCACCACCACCACAACTCACCATCACCACCACCACCTCCACAAAAACCCACCACCACTACAACCACCACCACAATCTACCACACCACCACCACCACCGCCACAACCACCACCACTACCAGCAGCACAACCCACCACCACCACCACAAACTAGCACACCACCACCACCGCCACCACCACCACCACACACCACCACACCCACAAAACCACCGCCACAAACCACAACCCCCCGCCACCCCACCACCACCACCAACCCCACCACACTACCACCAGCCACCACCACCACCCCAACCACCACCACCACCACACACCACCACCACACCACCACCACCACCAGCCCACCGCCACAACCACCACCACCACAACACCACACCACCACCACCCAACCACCACCACCGCCACCACCACCACCACAAACCACCACCACCACCACCACCACCACCGTCCTCGTCGACGCTCCCCACCACCGCCGCCCGCCGCCGCAGGCGCCGGCGCTGGCCAAGAATTGGACATCGTCGTCCCCGCCGCCGTCGCCAGCCGCCTCCGACCCAAGCGCAGCGCGGGCCCGACCCGAGCAGAGGGCAAGCAAGGGGGGGTGGGGGGGGGTCCAACCCCCCCCCCCGTCCGTCACGAAGGGGGTGGGTCCGGTTCCACCCCCCCCCCAAAGCGACCACAGAACGCGCTCTTTCCAATCGTGGATGCCCGGGGCTGGTCAAAGAGCAGCGTGGGTGGGGGAAGCCACCGAGGAATCAGAGCCCTCTGCCTCCTCCTCTTCACCGCTCTCCCTGCATTTGATAAGGAAGGAGGAAACAAGGAAGAGGGCGAGGATGGGGAGATCTTCGGAGAAGAAGGTCGTCTCCGCACCTCCTCCCTCAGGTTCTGCCCCCTTCTCCTCCCGCCGCACCTCCTCCGACTCCTCTGCGCTCCGACATCCCCCCCCCTCCCCAATCATCCCTACACCAATTTGCCACGTCAGAGTTCGTCGCTCTTGCATTGGAAGATCGCATAATCTTGATCGGTGCTTGTAGGCGACGAGCCCAGGGGGGAAATGAGAAGGAGAAGGCCTTCTCAGAAGGCCGCGGGACTTCTTAGAAGTCCGGGGGGCTTCTGAGACGTTTCCTTGGCCTATTTCGAATACAGACAGAACTTCTCAGAAGCCCTCTCAGAAGTCCAGAAACTTCTCAGAAGCCTCGGAAGT